AGTAAGGAACCATTTTTGCAAGATTTGAGACCAAATTTGCACGGTCAATCTTATGGGGCTAATTTGCAATTTTCTCTTTTTCAATGTAACGACCAACGACTATGTGACTCGCGTGTGATACCCCGTTAATATTGACAGCTTTGTGACTATTTTTGCAACGAAAAAAATTAAAGACTGAATTTTCAGCGAATGTCTAATTTACAACGGGCCCAATCCTACGGGACTAAATTTGTATTTTTTCTCTCTTATACAATATCTTGTTTGTGCCGAAGTTGAATGACGTGTTTGCACAAAAGTAGTATATATGAGAAATAAAAATAAAAATGTTATATAATTTCGAAAAATATAATAAGCTCCCTATGTCATGTAAATTTCTCAAATTTATTTAGTTTTTAAGCCCAAAACTAATTGATGCCGGCCTGACCCAATGGTTTTCATTTTCTAGATCTTTCCCACCACCAACAGCACAGTGTAGCTTTCTCCTCACCGCCTCCAATGGCTACCAAAATCATGGCTGCCCGATCCTTCTCCTTCTTCTTCTCCTCCAAATTCAAGCACCCTTCTCTCCTTCCTTACAGCCGCCCCTCTATCCATTCTATAACCCGTCCCGCCGCCGCAAAAATCCCCAGAACGCCATCTCCGGCGTTCTCCCTCACCAAAACACTCTGCACTTCGCCGGAAACACCTTTTCCGCCACCGCCAAAAAAGCACAACCCCAAGCTGGTGAACTTCTCTCTCTCCTCCGACTCCGATTCCGACGCCGAGAGCTCATCCCCCGAGAAGGCATCGCCCAAGCCCAAGCTCCCGCCGCCGTACAACCCGTTCAGCAACAAGCCCGCCGTGGAGGAGCCTGAAGACCCGAAAAACCTCCAGGAGGTGTTCGCCAAGATACGCGAGGACGGGCTCATGAACAGCGCGGTCAAGATGTTCGACGGTTTGTCCCAGGACGGGCTGACTCACGAGGCTCTGGAGCTTTTCTCCCAGATCAAGGACAAAGGGCAGATGCCGGACGTGGTGGCCCACACGGCCGTTATGGAGGCCTACGCCAAAGCGGGCCAGGCCAAGGAAGCCCACCGTGTGTACCTGAGGATGCTGTCAAGCGGGGTCCTGCCGAATGCCTACACGTACAGAGTTCTGATTAATGTGCTGGCTGAGAGTAGGGACTTGAAAATGGCGAAAAAGTACTTGGGGGAGATGGTGGGGAAAGGTATGACTCCGAATGCTGGGGTTTGTGTGGGGGTTTTTGAGGGTTTGATGCAGGCCGGGCTTGAGGAGGAAGGGAAGGAGATGGCGGAGATGTTAAGGGAGAAAGGGGCAGCGCCTGAGGAGGCTAAGGTGAGGGATGCTCTTAAAGGTAAGGGAGCTGGTGTTAATCGGGCCGTGATGAGATTTTTGTACGCCAAGTGAACAAAACAAACAATTATTTCTCTCATCTTTTTTTCTAAAAAAGTTTCTTGAGAATTGTGGTGTGTAATGCGGATATTACGTTTTATCTGGATTTGACATGATTTTGCAGTTGTTGGGGGAATTTGAGCTATAGTCTTGAAGGTACTGTGTTTTGTTAATTCTAAGGTAATAGTGATTTAATTTATACCCGGGAAGGAGAAAAGGCCATTTGAGCTTGGAAAAAGATAGTCTGAAAATCACTTTTTCCCCCAACTCTGTGTTATAATGATAAAAATTCGTAGCTATGAGAGTTCAGTGCCATTGTTGTTCCTAAAATATTTTCTTGAGCATATGTCATGTGTTTCTATTCATTTTGTGTGTAAACTCCCAACTCAAAAGTGAAGATTAAGAACTAGGAATAATTGGAATGTACTAACGTTTGCTTACAGTATTTGCGCCTCAATTGTGGTGTTTATTTATCAGACTGGAGGTGCATTGTGCTTTCCAAGCATAAGGCAAGTTGAGAAAGAGAGAAGATGAACATGGTTAAGAGATAGATAATAAAAAGGCATAATTCTTATGAAAGATGCATAGCATTGGACCAAGTGTTTGAACTGAAAAATCCAGGATTCTGTTTGTAACTTAATGATACACCAAAACACACAACGGAAAAAAGTAATTAAGAGTCCTATCCTACATGCATATATCCTTTCACATGGGATTCCAGTTTCCGATAACCAAAAATCACCCCACTCGTCAGAAGGTAGCAATTCTTCACACTGTATTTCTTCAACTGCATTTCTGCACAGAGCCCAACACCCAAGGGCATGTTTGGCTACGGCTTTTCAACTTTTACGAGGACGGGATAATTTAAGTGGCAGCCGAGACTAATAATCGTTCTTGCTGGGACATTCTGATGCTCTGTGACCAGTCCTCCCACAGACGAAACATGCTCCCTCAAATCCTCTGCACCATGACAAACCCATATCAAATTCAAGTTTAGGACAGAAAAAATGCCAAGTAAAAACCAAGCAACATGTCCGAATCTTCATAGGCGGATCTATAAAAATATCGCTGGAAATGTGGAAGCATGTCAATGTACATTTGATTAGGGATGATCACGAATAACTATCCTAGCCGTTGAAACTTATTTCGAAAAACCTGATCATATCCTTAGTTAACAAAATCTGAAGGGCATTTTCGTAACTTAAAGGTTCAATCTTGACACGCACAATTGTTGTCCAGCAACAAGACAAATGAGAAAGATAGAAACAAGTCAAATCAAGGAATATATATCATACCTATCTCTGCCACCAGAAGACGGGGATCGATTCCCGTAAGATGAGGATCGGTTCCCGTAAGATGAGGATCGATTCCCATAAGATGAGGATCGGTTCCCATAAGACGGGGAGCGGCTCCCATAAGACGGGGAGCGGCTTGATTGTTTATCATCCCCAAACAGCCAATCAGTGTCAGTACTGCTTCTCGAGCTTCTAGACCATTTACTGTCACTTCTGCCCCTGCTGCCACCTCTTCTAAATCTACCCTCTTCATAATCATCATCATTTTTCGGCCAATCTCGAGAACTTCTAGAACCTCTCCTGTCCCTTGAACCACCTCTCCTATCGGTGTTTGAAAATCGGCCATAAAAATCACTTGGAGGCCCATCATCTTGCAACGGGGGCAGCTGTACATATAATGCCAGAAAAAAAATCAGATAAGAAATAGTACATAAAAAAGATGTTACTGTGAATGTTACATCCATGATTCGTAGAACATGAGAACCATATGATGGAGGTGTCAGCATGTGCGTGTTATTGTTCGTAATGAATAATTGCAAAAGCTAAACCCGAGTTTTACACGTATAATTTCGAAATGTAACTGGGATAATTTTAAAAAACCTATGCTTACAAACTTCAGAAACCAGAGCCAAATTAAAAAGACCACCTTGGTTATTTTGGTGATCACGAATCCCACTGGAAGTTCCTTAGTCAGCAACTCTTTCGCAATCTCTTCTGGGAGATCGAAAACTGCTCCTTGAACCTGATAGCAGGTAAAACTTCGTGACAGGGCCAAAAAATAGAAAGAGAGAAAAAAAAAACAAATATAAAAAGCATCTTAGGACACTCACCTTTTCATCAGCAATGAGGTGTATTTTTCCTATTTCATCAGCAGCAGCAGAATAGACATCAGATAGAAAACCAGTAACAGATCTAGCAGATAGGTACCCTCTATCACGGGTCATCTGTAATGTAACCAAACCCTGCAAACAAACATATAATCAAACTCTGGCAAGCATGAGAACTAAATAACATTTAACATCTTATAAAATTTATGGCTAATTATAAAGTATGCACTTGAAGTTCTGTATAATTACAGAATGAGCTAGTTACCTTCCAAAATTACGCATACTTATGAAATTGGTCTCTATTTTTTCATATTGCCCCCTCTCGTAAAGGGATAATCGTAAATAAAATGCAATTTCCAAAATACGGTCACTATACTTTCTATTTCAAAGATAATCGATATGCTAACCGCAATAAGCCAACAAAATAGATAATACTGCTGTACAAATTAAGACATGTTAGGTACCTGCTCGTGAGTAATAAGCGACCTAGATGACGGAGGCCGGGAAAAGCCACTCAAAGTTGCTATAGCAGCAGCAAGAGCATCGACCCCTTTCTGTTTAAACAGCTTTTGGGCAGTTGGAGTGAAATACTCAACAGATTCGGGATGAACTCCACCAAGGGTGGCAACTACTTGCTCGGCTGATGACTCCAAAACCTCTTGAACAGAAGGCGGACTAACAAATTCAAACCTGCACCCAACATCCCTCTCGAGAGTCGTCACTGTCCTACGTTGGTTGCTTGTGAACATCAAAATGGCCGTGCCTTGTTTTCCTGCACGTCCCGTCCGTCCAGATCGATGCACGAATGTTTCCGAGTCATTTGGAAGCTCATAGTGAATAATCTGTGTAATTTATGGTTTCAGTTTAAGAACCAAATCATTCTAACTGCTAAAACGCCGCAGTTACAACGTAAATAAAAAGGCAAAATTGCATATTAATACATCAGCTTTCATGTTTTTGCAATTTAATCACCACCTTTACAATTTTGCAAATTAATACACCAGTTTTACTATTTTTGCAAATCGATACATGACTGACGGTCCCGTCAACGAAAATCTGACATGGCATTGAGCCACGTCAATGCCATGTCAGATTTTCATTGGATTTTTTTAACGGAACCATCATTTATGTATCGATTTGCAAAAATAGTAAAGGTAGTGTATTAATTTGCAAAATTGTAAATCTTGTGATTAAATTGCAAAAATGGTAAAGGTGGTGCATTAATATGCAATTTTGCCTAAATAAAAATGACACATAAAAGAGTATGATGACTTTCAGTACTGAAATGAAAAGGTGGACACTCTTTGAGAGTTCATTCCCAAATACCTTATTCATTCCTTTTAAAACACTGCTTTTCATTGTCATCAGTAGTTTAATTGACATATATCGACAAGATCATAAGAACTTACAAGGTCAACATTCGGAATATCAAGCCCACGAGCAGCAACGTCAGTGGCAACGAGCACTGTAAATTTTCCTTGTCTAAAACCATTTAGAGTTCTTTCTCTCTGGTGCTGAGAAATGTCACCATGCAGTGCTTCCGAGGCGATGCTATTTGTTAGTACTAGAGAGACTTCATCCGCATCTCGTTTGGTCTGCGTAAAAACAATGGCTTTTCCGCCTCTCGCATAAACCTGAGAAGACAATATAATTCGAAGGTTAAGAATAAAAGAAATATACATCTATGGAAGTATCTATGTCAATAGAACATGTTCAGAAACCAATGTCTTTTCATACCGTCACAAGATCACTGAGAATCGTCCGTTTAGAAGCAGCAGTGGTGGATATAGCATACAACTTAATCCCTTCTGCCAATTTTTCTTCCTGATCGCCAACCTGACATGGAGAACCAAATTATGTGGAGAGGGAATGTTATATAAGCAACAAATACACCTATGAAACACTAGGGATATATCGTGATGCGACATAGAAATTTTCAGTAAAAAATAACTAATATAGTTGGCTATATCAAGATGAGCATGGACAACTAATCAGACTCCATTACAGTGAATAGACACTTAATTAGCACAAAAANAAAAAAAAAAAAAAAAAAAAAATGGCCTAGTATTGAAAGACACAAAATAAAGAACGAAAAACTTACAAGGTCAATGGTTAGAGGATTGTCCAGAAACTTTCTTGCTAGTTTCTTTACCCACCCAGGCATAGTAGCCGAAAAAAGCATGCTCTGCCTTTGTGATGGAAGCTTCTCAAGAATGACTTCTACGTCCTCCTCAAACCCCACAGCAAGCATTTGATCGGCTTCATCGAGAACCAAGTACTGAACTTCTCCTAATTTCAGGAAGTTTTTATCGATAAGGTCTATGATTCTACCGGGTGTTCCAACTACAATATCAACACCACGAGAAAGTGCACTCTCTTGTGTGACGTATGAAATCCCTCCATAGACGCAAACAGTGTTCAAATATGGAGCAGACTCTTTAAATTCTTTCTCGACTTGGTTAGCCAACTCCCGGGTAGGCGCAAGAACCAGTACTTTTGGAAGCCGACCTCGTCTTCAATCAAAATAAATAAATATTATTAACTGTAGTAAGGAAAAAAAAAAGTAACTTTTTAACGCCTGATTTGACATATTATACCTTATAGGAAAACTTTCTTCATCCTGATCACTAAGTCCTTTGAGTATGGGAATACCAAATGCCAATGTTTTGCCAGTCCCAGTCTTTGCTCGTGCAATTATGTCTCTGCCTTCCAGTGCTGGGACTAAAACAGCCCTCTGCACACACGAAATTAAGAAAAAGAATTGGTCATACCAAGCAATATATGAAAGGTTTTAGCAAAAATATTAATACCAGGAACTGAACGTGCAGGTGGCACTGATATTGAAATAGTAATCCCAAGCAGAATTTGTAAAGAAGAACAGTTGGGAAATGATATGCTACGCATGTCAAAGAACTTTTTGGCAGCCGAATAAAACACTTTCAGAATAATATTATGAATATCGCTTATATAGTATGAAGGTTGCTCTATCAAATTTATACTATCTTCCTCCAGACCTTGTTGTGTGCTTAACAGAAATTGTTCTCTGAGACCTCAAAGTTCAATTCTTTTTCCAAAAATAAGAAAAGAAAACAAAAGGACAAAGAAATCTCCTTACCTACATAATTTACTAAAATCCCTCTTTTCACGAAAAAGGAAGATAATAGAAAAAAATAAAAATAAAAATCTTCCCTTATCGACGTTTCCACTTAGAAACCAATGTAAACCACAAAACCCGTCAAACAAAATCCACAAACGTAAAAACACAAAAAGAACACGCAGAAATACAAAACCAAGCAACATATACCTGAATGGGGAAAAGCTCCTTAATACCACGCTTCTTAAGCGTGTCCACGAGCCGCTGGGGCAAACCAATCCTAGAAATATCGAGCTCGTCCACGTTCCCAGACTCATCCTCCTCCAATTCGCCGTACTCGCCGTCGCTAACGTCTCCGAAACCTCCGAGCCCCTTGAACGCCTCCTCGCTCAACACCGACGAGTTCGAGGTCGCGATGGCCGACGGCACGAAGGATACTGCAAGACCCGCGCCGGACTTGTGACGCGACGACGAGAAAGCTCTCAAACTGTTGCGGGCGGCGGAGAAATGGAGGTGCAGAGACGGCGGCGTGGGTTTCTTGGGGTCGAGGGTGGGGTTGGGTTGGTATATGGAGGAGACGCCGATAATGGATGAGGAGCAGGCCATGGTTGTTAGGAGAGAGGTGGGAAATTTAGGGGATAAGGGTTTAGTGTTTGTTTCTATGGTGGTTTCTACTTCCACACCTCTTCACTTTGGAAATGAGAAAGGGGGATATTATTTTAGAGGAGATATTTATAAGGAAGTGTAAAAATCTTTATCTTTTAAAAATCTAACGTTTACCTAAATTTTTTATTATGATTATAAAATCTATTTATATAATATGAAATTGGTGTAATTACATGAGTACTTAAAATGTTTATAGTTATACGAAAAATTAAATTTATTTATATTTTTATTATAAAATTATGTATAATGAATATACAATATAAAGTGATAATTATTTAAAATGGCATTTGTATTTTTACACTAAACTTATCGTAAATATTATTTTTTTCAATTATATTTTTAAAATTATATATACTGTAGATATTATTTACTACTTTATATATTTTAGAAAAACCAAATTTTATTGTATTGTGATTATATTTTATATTTATAGAGACGGTGTCTCTCATTTATTAATTTTAAACGTAGAAATGTATTATTTTTTAACTTTATGAAATGTAAAATTATTTTATTTTATTTAATTATGATATTTTTTTATATTTATTATTTTGAACAACATAATAACATTCAGTTCTTTATATAATCAATTTAAATCGAGGAATAATATTTCTTAAAATTTATTTTATGTAATACTTAATTTTTATATATTTTTTTTAAATTCATAGAAAAAACACATTAAACTAATTATTTTATGGTGTATTGATAAATTAAATTCATATTATTTTCATATATTTATATTGTTATTTGATATTTTTTTAAATTGATTTGATAATAATATTAGTTTTATTTATAAAGAAAGATTAAATTATTTTTTATTTTATATATGATAACTTAAGAATAAATGAATATTGAAATAATTTATAGTAATTCTCAAGCCTAACAATCAAAACCCAAACATATACTACCAATATGAATCACAAATTTATATCAAAGAAGTTTACAAAGCATATGAGTATGTCACATGGACTCAGCACATTCAAGAATTATGCATAAGGTGTAGCGCCCCATTTGTTCCGGAATTAATTGGAGATTTTTTATTATTATTTTATTTTATTTTATTTCAAAATTATTTATTCGAGCTCGATAATTCTATTTCGATTATGTGCTCATAATTGTTAATTGTATAAATTTCAATATCGAGTCGAAGAGTATTATTATTTTATTAAACTGCCAGAGTGAAATAATTACTTTTTTTTTTTGACGAAACGATAGGCATATTATATATCAAAACGCACAAATGTGCAAGAAAGCAGCCCAAGGCTGAATATTACAACCATGAACTAAAAACTGGGAGGACGGATCGAAACCGCCTAGAACCTCGCTAGCCACGCTAGAAAATAAAACACACAACACACAACTACACCAACACACCAACTACGAACGCTCCCCACAGGAGAATATGAAACGCCCCCCACAGGGGAATCAGAACCGGGGCCAACGGCCCAAACCTAAAAAACAAGACCAAAAATCACACACACAGACTCAACACATGCAAAATATTAAGCTACCAAACCAAACCAAAACAAAAGCAACGAAATTAACCATGCCCTTCCAAAGTAGCTACACCTAACCGAACCAGCGAAAACAAGGCGACTGTGAATCCGCAGCTATGTGTACCGACTCCGAAACTGCCCAAACCACTCGGTTGCCTAACGGCGTCGAAACACGAAACCCTAGAACCACACCAAGCCACCCCGTACCACGGCCACTGCACCAGATTGCCACGGACGGACAAAGGAGTGCCACGACCCCAGTCCCAACCCAAGACCGCCTGGAAGCTGCCCAAAGCCGCCCAACACCGCCGCACCGCCACATCCCACTCCGACCAACACCACTGGCAGGAGAAGGGACGCGACAACCCCTGCGACCCGAAAGCCGAGAATAGCGGGGAGAGTGACGTCGAACAGCAGCACCGCTCAATCGCCCAACCAAGATGGTCGACGAGCAATTGATTCGTGTCCCGGCCCCGGAACCGCGCCACGGCTCCACCACCGCCCAATAGAGGAGCCACCACCGTGAAATCGCTTGTCAGCGTTGAAAAAGGCGAAGTCCCATCGCGACAGGCGAGGCCGACCTCCATGGAAGACGGACAGCAGAGCGGAAAATTGGGGACAGGAGCCAAACGGCCAAGGGCCGGCGACCGCCGGCGAAGCTCGGTGGCTACTATGGAAGGCCGACTGCTGTCAATTGGAGGAGACGAGCGGGGAGGAATTTGGGGCCGAGGGTTTCGAACACAGTTGAGGTTTGGTCTACACGTGAAATAATTACTTGATGATGTATTTATTAGTGTACGCTAATAAATATATATATTATGTCGGTTTTGTGAATTTAAAAGATTTACGAGTCGTCATATTTTATTTTTCCGAGCGTTATGTATATTCGGAGTTTATGAGATTGAGCCCGATAAATCAGTAGTCGAAACCAGCCGATTCGTAAACCCGTTGTCTACGAATTAATTGAGATTATTATTATTAATATTATTATTTTAAAAATAATGTACGTATTAAATAAACAATATACGGTTGTTTATTTACGAACTCGAGAGCCGGATTGTTTTTGACGAAACTGTATGGATCGGCCCGTGAGCCAAACCCGCACAGATATGAATAGGCTCGTGAAGTTTATGAACATAAATAGAATACGTCAAACTTGTATTATATTATGATAAAATATATCATTTTTTCTTTTATCTTTATACATACATTTTTGTATCTATTGTTTTCACGTGAAAACAAGAATCTTGATCCAATCTGAATCCCATCCTCTTCTCATCTACATCTCTTGCTTTGCTATTTTACCGATCCCATCTCATCATCCTCTGCTCATCACCATTATCAATATCTCTCCCTCTCATATATTTTCGCCGGCGAGTCCCCCACCCCTCTCGTTTTTATCTGGTTTTCCCGTCGCCATTTCTGATTATCTCATCGTCGTTCTCGTCATCTCGTCTCGCCACCATCATTTCCAGCGTGAAGCAGCCATCACAGCAACACCTTCGGCGACCTTCTGTTGCTCTCCTCCTTGAGTTCGACGTCGAAACTCCGGCGAGCCGTGCTCCGCCGTTAACCACCATGAGCAGGCCCTCTTCCCGGCGAGTTCTCCACTTCCGGTGACCACCACCAGCGAGCTCGACGTCGTTTCCGGCGAGCTACTGCCGACGTGAAGTTAGCTTACGGCCACCCTCGGTTCCTTTCGTTATCTCGAGTTTCGTTCGCGAGCCGATTTCCGAGTTCCGTCCAGCCGAGCCGTTGTTCGGTCCGTTTTTCCTCCGTTAGCTCGTGAATTTTGGATAACGGGTAACTTATTCGAACCCTCTCGTTATTCCGGTCGTATTTGTATATTACATGATATATATATATATATATATCATACGTGTTACCGATTATTTGGTTGAAGTCGGATTTTGGTTAGAATTGTTATCGGCTCGTATATGTCGTTTCGTTTATCGTGTTATGCTCGTAACCTTATTAAACCGAATATCATGTTGTTACTATGTTAAACCTCAATGTGCTCGTTTATTTGCTGTCGAGAAAATATATTGATCGTTGTCGAGTTTCGAACCATCCGTTTTTATTCGTTGGTATTTTATGTGAAATATATGTTTTTGGCTGATCTGTTGTGCCGCGTTTTAAGCTATTTGAGACTGGTTATTTGAAACTATGGTCTTCATATGAATTGTAGTATGTTCAGTTTTCTAAACCTGGATTTGGAATTTCTCAATTCCGAGTTATATCGAATAAGTTGTGATTTTTACAAAAATGTTGCGCATCCAGTTTTCCTGCTACCCGGCAGCGGATCTGTAATTAACGTGTGACCTGTTTATCATGTCGTAATGTGCTCGTATGAACTTACACTCTTCATGGAAGTTATAGATATAATTCTTGCCTTTCATATGAGATATATTTCTTGTCGATATGTGCTCTGTAGCTCGAGTTATGAATTTATGAAGATAGATATGCATGAGTTATGAATTATCCTGTTGGCAGAAATATGGATCTGAATGTTAACAGCTTTTTGACCATTCAAATGAGCTCATATGTTTCTGTGTTCTAAATGAAAGTTGTAGAAAAATTCCTAATGTTTAATTTGATACGTGAACCATATCATTTGGAGGTCTGTAGTTCAAGATAAATGCTAAACACTGAGGTGCTGTCCAGGTTCATTATACTTGTTTTGACAGATTTACTGAATCACATATCTTGTGTTTAAACTCGTGGTTAATGTGATTATTTGCAGATATGATCTTCAGCAAAGTTGTAGACATTTGAATTATCTATCATGTAGTTTTTGAAATTCATTAAAAGCATGACTGTAGCTCCAGTTAAATAGAAATTACTGAAGCCTGGTCAAGTGTATTTTTCCAGTTTTGGACTGTGACTCAAATTTTGATGTTTGTTGGATTATCACTGGTTAAATGACCTTATTTTCCTGCAGTGTCTTCATAAGAATTGTAGATTCATTTCTTAGGATTCCAATGCAATTTGATTGATGTTCATACGAGTTGTGTGCTGAAAGTTATGTTGATTTTAAAAACGCTGCCCGGGTTAACTTTTTCAAAACTTATATGGATTCATCTAATGCATGCTTGAATGCTTACGTGGAATTAGTTGAACTAAGTAAATTATCGAATAGTCTTTGATAAGGCTATTTTAATAAATGTAGGTGTTTGACGAATCGACCTCGCCGACTACTATTCTTGTGTGTATGACTCGATCGCTACCAGGTGGGTTCATTTATGTTGAATCTACATTTATTGCACTTGTTATTTCGTATAAATGTTTGTCGCGATAGCTTCTGTATGCGTGAGAACCCTAGTCTAAGTGTCATGACGGTAGTGCCTTTGACGAATGCATAATCAGTGGAAGTCACCTGCCCGTTGTATCCGGGAGGTGGGCGCCCGAATCCGTGTAGAGCGGAGGGGATTGTCTGAACGCCCGAATCCGTGTAGAGCGGAGGGGTATTTCAACTTCACTGTCTCCTGGATAATATCCTATGCCCGTTGCATCCGGGGTGGGAGTGCTTC